CCTCCGGTCTCTTGCAGGCACCAGGGTGTATAGCCCCCCAGAGTGGATCCGCTACCATCGCTACCACGGCCGCTCGGCGGCAGTGTGGTCCCTGGGTGTGTTACTCTACGACATGGTCTGCGGAGACATCCCCTTTGAGCACGATGAAGAGATTGTGCGGGGCCAGGTGTACTTCCGACAGAGGGTCTCTCCAGGTGGGCACGTGGTTTTTTGCATCAGGGAATAGCACGTGTTAGGAGATGATGCTGGATACGCAAGCGTCCAGCTCTTACTGGTTAGGGAGGGTTTTGATCTCTTCCTCGGTTAGCTGGAGGCTAGAGAAGGTGGGCGCTTGTCCTGCCGTCCCTGCCGGCTACCCTCCAAAAATGTTAGTTGATTGATGTATTTGGGTGTTGGGAGCAGCCCTGAGCACAAAGCAGGGCAATCCGGACAGTGACACGAGAGAGGCAGGAGTCTCGGGCCTTCCTAGCTTGACCCTTGGCTTCTCTCCTCAGAATGCCAGCATCTCATCAAATGGTGTTTGGCCCTGCGACCCTCGGACAGGCCATCTTTCGAAGACATTTTAAACCATTCTTGGATGCAAGGCGTCCACCTACCGCAGAAGACAGCAGAGATCCACCTGCACAGTCTGCTCCAGGAGTCTAGCAAATAACAGTTCCTTGCATCTCCTGGCTGTAAAAAAATGAAAGAAAACAGAATTCTTCTTCGTGACTGTAGCACTGAGTGGGGATCGTCACATGGGAACATCTACATCTCATTCCAGAGCTAGACCAAACTGGAGAGTCCATCATCCAAGAGCTGGTGGCCACGATCCAACCCAGGTGTCCTGGACTTGAACTTAATGGTCCTGTCTTCCTTGATGTCTTGCCAGTCAACTTTTGGTGATGTTTTACGGGCGCTCCCACGAGTGTCCCTGGCCTGCTGAATTCGGGACTGTGAGAGGATCAGAGACATTAGAGCAAGGAAAGCGTCAACTGGGGGGAACTGTTCTGGGGGTGGGGGGAGGGCAAGTGCCGTGTCTCCGAATAGCTGTGAATAGCTGTCTCTTCTTCGCCGTCACCGTGTTCTGAGTGCCTTCAGTTGCGATCTGGGCTGTGCTGGAGGAAATACTTGAATCTTCCTACACTGCTGCTTTTTCCAAGACTTGCCTGGGTATATAGTTACTTCTTCCCTTTTCAAAAAGGAAACAGGTCAGAAGAAACTTGGGAGCAAAGCGGGCAACATCTTGTGGCTTCCGAAGTGTGCTGTCTTGCGTGAACTTTCTTTCTTGGGCTCCTTGCTTCCCATGCCCTCACGAATGCACAAACAATGCAATCCAACTGAGTTGTAAATGTATGTACAGAATTATACAGGAGCAGAGCTTGGTGTACAGTTGTTAATAGTGGTAACATTTGACTTTTTTTTTTTCCAGTTTTTGGTTTTAATTTATTTTCATGGATTTGTTTGGGGTTTTTTTTGGTTTTGTGTTGATTTTTTTGTTGTTTTTTGTAAGGAAAGGTCCTAGCCAGCCGGATAACTTATTTATTTATTTATAACTCATGTGGGTCCTCGACCCATGCCTCGCTTCTACAGCTGCTGATCCCCAGGTTTCCCATTTGGGTCTCCCCTCCGTGTCCGTCCTGCGTCCCTCCCTGGCCTCGCCGCCTGCCTTGCAGAGTGCTTCTGTTTGATGTCTTGCCGCTGCGTGGAGCAGCTCCCTGCTTCCCAGCTGTCTGTAAATAGTTCTGGTTGCTGTCGCTCCCTTCCACGTGCAGATCTCGGTTTGCAGATGAGTTTTGGTTTTCCCCCCTAGGTGTCTGTCTGGGGCCGGGGGTGTCCTGCGTGCATGTACCTAAGCGCTCTTCTTGCTGAGCCGTGGGGGGAGCTAGCCAGGGCTGCCCGCACTGTCGAGTCTGTACATGTAACCAGTGTGTAGCCAGTGGGTTTTTGTTAATAGTTAATATTGTACAGGGGAATTCAGAAATCCTATTTTTTTTTATACATGCGGTTTTAAATAAAAACAAATCACTTGACTCTATGGTGACATCCCTTATTGCGGGGCGTGCATGAAGAGGAAAGCTGGTGGCGTGCGGGAGCAAGCGGGCTGCCAGAGACCGGAGGATCCTGATGGCACCGTGGGCAGCCAGTCTTGGGAGCATCAGTTTGGCTGGAGCAAGCCTGGGTTTACACTCCTCCCTTGCAGAGAGGTGAGAGTAGGAAATGAGTGTATCGGCGTGCTTGCTGCAGCGGAGACAAACTCCAAAGGTCCCAGCCACAGGCTTGCCAAGCCGAGGGAGCTGGGACCAGCTAGCTGAAAGCAGCCCAGCAAAGGCTGGATCCGGCCCTCCGCAGGGCGCGCGGAGTTTCCAGCGCTGACTGCTCCTGGCAAGTCTCCTGGGAGAGATCAAAGGGGGTGTGGAGCCCTGTTCGTTCTCATTCATCTGCAGGCGGTTGGGCTGCTGGTGCAGAGCATGTGCTAGGAGCAGCGTGTAAACAAACATCAAAGCAACCTTGTGAAACACCGGATGTTGTCGGCCAAATTAAATTTTGGTAACGCAGATCCTGTTGCTCCGGCTTTGTCGGTGCGGAGCGTGTATTGCATGCTGGGTGCCGGTGGGTTAAGAAAGCCGCCTGAGTACTGTCCCCACCTCCAGATCGGCTGTGGCTAGCGCAGTTAGAGGAAGCTGATGCTCAGATTACGAGAAGTTGGTCGCTATCCGTCAGCAGCGGTAACTCCTCGCTCAAGCTTTTACCCTTCAAACTGTCAAACCCCATTGCCCAACACCACAGTGCTTTGACTTTGGAGGTGTTGGTTGTTTTTCTCGTATATTTTAATGAGCCTAATTTTAAACCCTGCTCTCGCTCGCCTAGCTTGATCTCTTCTCATTCATCTGTCCTGGAGAGCACCTGCTGCCACCACGAAAGGTTGGGAGGCCTCCGGTTCGGCAGCCATCTGCGCTTGTGCATCTTCCCCTACCATCCAAGCGTGGGGTGCGTTTCCCTTCCTGCAGGTTACGTTGCAAACCTCCCAGCCGGATCTGACCCAGCCTTTCTGATTGTACCCTTGGTTTGCCCCACGGGTTTCTCCTTGGTGTCCTGGAGAGCACCTGCTGCCACCACGAAAGGTTGGGAGGCCTCCGGTTCGGCAGCCATCTGCGCTTGTGCATCTTCCCCTACCATCCAAGCGTGGGGTGCGTTTCCCTTCCTGCAGGTTACGTTGCAAACCTCCCAGCCGGATCTGACCCAGCCTTTCTGATTGTACCCTTGGTTTGCCCCACGGGTTTCTCCTTGGAAAACCCACGGGCCGTTTCAGGGACTGCCGCCCTTTGCTGCTCTCCGAGCCGCGCGCCTGCCCTCGGAGCTGTGCCCGAGCCTCGCAGGGTGACGGGCGCGCGCTGTGTCGCTGCTGTTGGAGGAAAGCGTTCACTGGGTTTGTTTTGCCTCCCCCACCCGCC